TTTTAACTGCCTGTATCCATGATCTCATTCTTTCGGTCATTACCCAGAGCTTGTGACCGTATGTGAGGGTAAAATGAATGATGAAGATGTTGATGTCTTTATTTGTCATTTTGCTGCTGTGAAGTTTCCAGAAAACCAGCAGAGACTTCTGGAAGTTCAACACAAATCTAAAAGTAGAAGCTTTGTTTACTTTATATTTTAAGAAACAATCATCTTCCTGTTTCTTTGCTTGGCAACCTCCATGCTGCGTCATGTTGGCTTCTTGAGGTGATACCCAGAGTCACAGTTGAATATTTAACGGCTTCTCTTTGAGACGACAGATTCTGCATGTTGGTGAGAAAACAGGAGTCAGCCCCAGTCAGCCACTCAGCTGCCTGTCTACACATAAACAAGCTGTGCATCGACATCTGCCATCGTTGAGGGATTTGAATTGTGAACGTTTATAGTTTTCAAGATAACTGCATTTGAACAGGGAATGAGAGGAAACCTTAAAGGTTTTAGTACAAAGCAGTCAAGTGGGTAGAGTTACACTGTTAAAGAACAGAGATAGTTTTTTTATTTGAGGTGGTGCAGAGTGGCAGACCCTGGCAAGTGGAGGGAGCAAATTTATCTACAACGAGGTGCAATGGCAGAACGAAGGCGTGGCCAGTGGTGACTTCGGCCCCCATAGATTTCTGTTTGGCCACTTCAATCATTTGAGGAAACTATACTTTTAAGCAGTTTAAAACTTAGAAAGCAAAGTTTCCTTAAATGATCAGTGGCTGGTTTACACACACAAACTTAATACACACACACACATATATATATGAATGGAGGTGGTCATCTTGGATTGTATCGTGACAACCAAATTTGATCTTTTATGCACCTAGATGCAGCCACACAGCAAAATGGAAGCCAGTAGGTCTCTTATCTTTCAAGTTATCCAGATCACAGATGGACAGAGGGTGTTTCCAATTCCCTGTTTCGTTCAGCGATGGGGCATCATGAATAACTGAGCAAGACTTGATGTTTTTCCGTGTCACAGGTCGTCCTGTGCACCGACGGCAGAGCCAACATCGGACTTGGCGATATGGAACAAAGCCCGTCTCTGTCCTCCCTGACCCAGACCCCATATTTCTACAGACAGCTGGCGCTGCAGGCCATGGAGAAAGAGTGAGGACGCAATCAGCTCTGTGATGAAACAAAAAACAAAAGGATTTGAAATGGTACATTAAAACTAGTCCAATGATTATTTAACTATTCTTTTCAGGGTCATAATCTCGATAATGAGCTTTAAGGGGACAGATTGTCGCTTGGCTGACATTGGGAGGCTGGCTGACGCAACTGGGGGACGGGTGAGACTCAGACACAAAAACATTCAGCAACGCTGGAATGAAAACACACATCTACAAAAAAAGTCCTTGAAGAAAAGTGTTGAACCATCCTTCATTCTTTAAACTAAATGTTGCCTGTAAATACACTTAGGAAAACATCTAAAACCTGCGATGGTGTCCCAACCTTCTGAACTTCTTTCCTTTCCTGATCAGGTGAACATCGTCAGCATCGGTACCGTGGCCTCGGAGATCCAGTCCATCTCTGTGGACAACGTCTTAGCAACAAGCGTCACTTTGACCCTGCTCGCTCCTGATGGAGTGTGAGTGCAGACTGAAGTCAAAACCTGAAGGTTTTCGTTATTTTATCATTTACACCAGTCAGCCATAACATTATGACCACTCAAAGGTAAAGTGGAAAAGACTTTAAAAAGCCAATAAGGTGGAGGTCATTGAGCTGCAAGTAAATATTCTGTCTTAGAAGTTGGACCAGGTTCCAAAATAGGAAAACCAATGGTACCAATGGTAAAGTTGTGCTGTAAAACCAAAAATCTTCCTCATCATTTGGATTTTGGCACGTTCTACCAACCTAAACTTACTTCATTGCTGACAAGGTACACTCCTTGGAAAAGTATTCACTGATGGAGGTAATGGAGTTGGGCTTGTTTAATGGTTCCAGAAAGAATAAGGGTCACAAATGCAAGTTTGATTCATTTACTTGGCCTCCAAATCTTTAGGTACAAAACATGATTGAGCATCTAGTAAATTTACTGGACAAATAAGTCTGATCTATGTTCGAGCCACCCAGCAACTCCACAACCTGAAGGACTTCAGCTTGTTACTGATGGTTTCAAGGCAAACACCACAACAGAACGTTTAAGATCTAAGACAAGTCCAGCTCTACACTGGGGTTCTTTTGCAGAAGAAAGTTTAAATAGGTTCAAAGCGGAAACAGGTGGAATGCCCCCTTCAAATCAGGGTTGAGTCTGCCTCAGGTGGAGGAGTTCAGCTATCTGGGTATTTTGTTCCTGAGTGATGGTAGGATGGAGCCAGAGATGGACTGAGCCTCATCCTCAGTAATGAGGGTGTTGCTTTGATCGGTCATAGCGAAGAAGGAGTTGAGTCGAAAGGTGGAGTTCTCAATTTACTGGTCCGTCTACATCACAGCCTCACATATGAACCTATTGGTCATGAAGTCTGGTTCATGATGACCAAAGGAACAAGATCCTTGATGCAAGTGGCTTCCTTTAAAGGGTGGCCGGGCTCAGCCTTAGAGACAGGGTGAGGAACTTTGTCATCCAGGGGGAGCATCGAAAGGAGTCAGTTGAGGTGCTTCAGGCTCCTGA